TTAAAAATGCAAAAAGTATAAAAAATATTCCCACAAAATATAGTAGTCTAGATAAAATGGCATAAAAGGTTACAATCTATTGTTGCATTTGTAATAACAAACTTGAGTTCCATATCATGTAATAGAGTATCATATTTGTGAAGAAACTGTACAAACCCATCGCAGGTATAAAATGGAGTAAGAATTGGATTGATTTGAAATGGCATCCATGAAGGCCTTAGCAGTGTCCGAGAACTTTTTCTTCAGCACTGCAGGTGGCATCCTTAAGGGAAAAGGGAGGAGGGAAGACCATAGACATATTCAGATTAAGTCGGTCTAATTAGGTTTAACAGAAATTCATATCTTTCTATTGAGACATTGATTTACCTAATGAAAAGCTCTTACCTTTTCATGACCAGGTTGAGCAGGTAAGCAACAGCTGCCAGTGATTCACTGCTATCTACAGCCTCCAGAGTTGTCATCTGTTGATTTAAAAATGCAAGATGGAAAATGTGAATAGGTTTATTTACAGAAAATGTCAAAAGAAAATTGACAAAGGCAAATGTGCTTAAATCTAACAAAACATTCTTGTCGTTTTGTTTCTTAAAATAAATAAATTACTGAACAAACCAATACATAGATTTTAGACATGGAACAAAACATAAAAAAATAATAAATAAATTACAATTGTGCTTTAGCAATATAGCAGTTTTAAAAGCTATTGAAAACTTTTTTTTGGAAAATGATCCATTAACTTTCCTTAGTGTCAGAAATTGTTTGCAATTAATACTGGTAATTTTCAGATATTTTGTTAAAATATATTAGATAAAAATGTTAAAAAAAAAATTCATCAGTTTCGCAGAGTTAAAAAATTACACATTTTTTTGCTGTTTTTAAGTGCTATCTGAAATGTCAACTTTTTAATTATTGAAAAAGTCTAAATGCAGCACATTCAAAGTTATGAATATTTTATAAAGCAATATGATCCTTCTTAAGAGAACAGACATGCAAAATATCATACAGATTCTAAACCTAAAATAAAAATATCTATTTTAACAGTGATTTAATTATTAATTAATTATTTCATTATAATTAATTAATTAATAATATTATATTAATTATTAGTGAATAATTTACCAAGGCTGCAAAGTACTCCGTCTCTGTTTCTTTTCCTCCCTGAGAGCGAATCACTTCAGTTACGGCCGCCAAAACAGCACAGATCTATAGAACAAGGAGACATTAATCCAGCACATATCAAAAAATATTACAACAAATCTCTCTGACCATCAAACCACTACAAAACAAACCTCCTTATGTGTCGCAGAATTGGACTCCCAGTAACGCTGCACTTTCCTAAAAGTGAGGTTGGAGCAGTCTGATAGTCCACTAAGGAAAGTCCCAGAGGTCTTCTCTGTGAGAGCTTCATCCTCCATAGAATCTCCTGCCACATCACTGCTTTGCTGCAGTGATCCTGACTGAAGATCATTGTGCAGTTTCAAGGCATCTACTGTCAGATCACTCTTTTCTGTTTGAACAAGTGAAAAATCTCACATTTTACTCCAATCAGACCATCCAACACAAAGTTGACATCACAGTAGGGCCAGGCGATTTGAGAAAAAAACCTCACATCACGATAAGTCATTATATATCCTCCTGATAATTATATACAGTGCCTATAGAAATCCATCATGCCCCTTTGAAATAGTTACTTTATTTGTCCCTAAATCAAATGAGCCTAAAATTAAATCAGATTCCAAATAACTGTTCCAGCCTTTGACATGTTTTTGTAGCCTCTTAACCCACGCCTATCTACAACTTTATTGAAGGTCTTCTAAAAGCAGGGTTTAATGAGAGTAAAAGTAGATTTTCACAGGGTATGACGATTTTCTGCGGGCACTTCACATCATGATATATAATAGGATTTCTAAAAATGATTTTTGCTTAAAATCAAGATTACGATTTTCTTACGATCCTGTAAATGTAAAATAAAGGTTAATTTGAGTAGGCTATTATTATTGTTACTCTCAAACATATAGTAAAACAACAATAATATTAGGCCTGTGTAGGTCTACTGTTAGGTTAAAATGTTAAATTTTGTATAGCCATGGAACTGTGGATTTGAAGACACTTTAAATATGACATAAGAATACAACTATATATCATGCTGAAGTTGAATTATTATGTTTGAGACATATGCTTATTAAATATATACTTAGACATATGTCATTGACAAAATTATTAGACCATTTTTTTATGATTGGTAAAATGAGACATTTGTCATTATCTGATTCCATCTTGCATTATACAGGCTAGAGTATTTATACTGACCCAGTAAAGTTATACCTCATAAACACAGTATGTGACACTTTTAATACCATTTGGAGGTGTCCATGTTGCTGAGCAACATATGTAAAACAATGTGAAGACTTGTGCAACCACCTTTTTGCTTCTCTCTTAATAATGATAATATAATTATGTGAATCGTATAAAAGCAGAATTAGGATCGCGTGTAGGGTCGAATCGAGATTGTGATATTTTTTATAAAAATTGTGCAGCCCTACTAATGATTGCAGGACAAACAGACAAATATAGAATTTGTTAAAATATTGTTAAATAAAATGGTAAATGTAAACATTGTACTTTCAAGATTGCAACCTTCTCACTATGTTGTCATTCAGGTTTGTGTCTGCATGCTCCATGCACTCATGGAAGTTAAATTATGAAAAAGTATTACAGTAAACAATGTATTTTGTGAATAGAGGTAAAGTTGGTTATATATTTACACATTCGTTCATTTAGCAGTCTATATATTGTTTACTATGTTACTTTGAATATTTGATCGAAATTAGCATGCAAGTGTGACTTGAAAACAACATTAACACTGTTTATTTGACTGTAAACAATGTTGTACTTTGATAGTCATTGGCTGCTAATATGATATCCCTATTTAAAATTTGCAATAAATACTTTTCTGAAATAATTAGGGGGAATGTCTGAAAATCCGAATATAAAACCAACTTTACTTCTCTATTTTGTGACACCAAAAATAAAAAATATATGACCCTTTGAAAAAATATTAAGGTATAGTTGGATTTATATTCACACATTTGTTCATTTTTAACTTGTGACACAGTCCCTATATTGTTTACCATGCTAATTTAAATATTGGGTCTGAAAGTGTCTTGAAATAGGACTTAAAAAAATAAACCATTGGCACTATTTAAATGACTGTAAACAATGTTGTACTTTGATCGTCATTGGCTGCTAATATAATTTGCCTATATAGAATTAGCAAATAATACTTTTCAGAAATTATATTATTAGGAGAAAGCTTGAATGTGCCAACAAAAAACTAACTTTACCTAAAAGGAAATAATTGCTTTATTTGTCATACAGTCTGAAATCAAATCCCATTCCAAACAACATTTCAAGCCTTAACTTTATCCTGAAGGTCTTTTGAAAGCAGAGTGCAATGTGAGTAACTTAAAGGTATAAATTTTCTCAGGGTATGATGACTGTCAATAGGCACTGTATGTCAAAACCAACGTTACAGAAACTTCAATGACTGTCAAAAATGACCAATAATGAATAAAGTACTTTACACAGGCGAAAATAAACTGGTCAAAGCCTTTTAAAGCACCAAAGCATGATTTTTAAACTTGTTTACAAGTCTGATCCTCTACCCACGTGTTATCACGCAGGCCTGGGTCTCACCTGATGGACGGCTGAAATATCTGCTCCTCGCGGCCTTTCGATAGCGATTTGTCTCCGGGTTGCTGTCACTGCTGTGCCCCTTTTTCCACCGCCTTACTTTCTGAGCTGCTCCGGATCGAAGTTTTCCGGACTTCACCATTTTAGCCGGTGGAAATCTTAACTGTGCTGCAGTCACGCTGGTCTCTCCAGTCTGCGTGTCGCGCCTACCACTGCGTCATCATTGTGCGCGTCCTAGTCTGCGTATTATTTTGAGGTGAATGACTTGTACTTAGAATATCATTAAATTTAAATGAAATACAATTTCACGCCTAAAAGTATAAGTACTACTAGAAGAAACTTTCAGTTGTTTTATAATTGAAATCGCGGAAGATAAATATAAAAGCTAAATAAAGAACGTATCAGTTGGTATCAATAAATTATCAAACTTATCAATGAGCTGCCAAAGATATATATTATTTTCGGTCCCTTCATATATATATATATATATATATATATATTCTTTTAATTTTATTGATCAACAGTCTAGTTTCCTAGTGTAACAACAAATGGTTATTAATTTTTCATTAAACGTGGTTTGTAAAAATCACAATAAAATAGACATAAAAGTCACACGTGGCAATTTGAGATTAGAACAAAGAACAATAAACCAAGAGCAACACGGTAGCTCAGCAGTCGCCTCACAATTAAGTTCAATTCATGTTTAATTCAATATCGCTTTTACAATGTATTGTCAGTCCAGTTTTCAGAGCTGAAGTTCAGTTTAATTCAGTTCAGGTTTAAATTTCACTGCTGGAAGTCAAAACACTAAAGAGCAAATCTACCGGTGCAGCTCCACAAGTGCCAAACCAAGCAAGCCAGTGGAGACTGTGGCAAGAAAAAAAACTTCACCAATTTGACGAAAGTGAAAGAAAAAACCTCAAGACAACCCTGCTAAAAAATCAAGCTAAAACCAGCCTAGGCTGGTTTAAGCTGGATTTTTCAGCAGGGAAACCAGGCTCCGTTGGGCACGGCAATTTCTCCTCTGGCCAAACGTCCTGTGCAGAGTTGCAGTCTGGGTGCCACAGCAAGAAGGTCACTGGTTTGAGTACCAGCTGGGTCAGTTGGCATCTCTGTGTGCAGTTTGCATGTTCTCTGTGTTTGTGTGGGTTTTCTCAGGTTTCCCCCACAGTCCAAAAAAACTGAATAAACTAAATGGCCTTAGTGTATGTGTATGTGCATGATTTGGCGATTTATTCCGCTGTGGCAAACCATGATGAAAAAAAAGGACTGAGCCGAAGGAAAATTAATGAATGAACAAGAAACCTGAGCTCTTTTAGAAACAATTTTTATAAGTTGTTTATCTATACATATTTACATTACATCCACATGTTTTGAAAGTGCTATTTAACACCATTTCATCACATCATTTTCAGGTAAAAAAAAAAAAAAAAGGAATGAAATAATCTCTGTGGTGCTTGGTATTGTGCAAATGTGAGTTTAATTTCAGCTATTCCTTTGACCCAGTTTGTCAATGAAGTCAACGCCTTCCATACAACCAGTAGAAAAGTGAAAATTAAACATTTGTCACTGTACAGAAATAAGTCACATTTAATATAAACATGTGAAATGTTGACAGTGAGATTTGACAAGTGTTTTTCTTTCAGATTCCCAATTAGCTCCCATTCGTATTCTTTTATCTAAAATATAACAATAAGCAGTTTCAGCTTAGATTTAGTTTTTGATTAAAAAAAAAAATACCCGTCAGTACTTCACAAATGAAAAAGAAATACATCTCTCAATGCATAATCCAACACAGTACCAAGGTTTGAATGTTGTTGTTCAACAGCCATTGTTCAACCATTCAACGAGTCAAAGTTCTATAAATATGCAATAACATAATGCTGTCTAAAAAAAAGATCCTTAAGCTCTGTAAATAGACAGTAAACTGTATAATGCAGGGGTGTCCGAACTCCTGGAGTCCTGCTGAACACATCTGCCAGTTACTCTCTAGTACAGTGTCTCTCAACCACGTGAGCTTATTAGCAGAGACTAAAAGAGGTGTAAAGGGTGTGACAGACAAAGGAGACATCCAAAACATGCAGTGTTGGTGGTCCTCCAGGAATGTGGTTGAGAAACACTGCTCTAGTATATCTAGTAAAAGCTTGATTAGCTGGTTAAGGTGTGTTTGATTAGTGTTGGAGCTAAACTCTCCAGGACACCGGCCCTCCAGGACTGAGTTTGGACATCCCTGGTAGAATGGATCAAGGCAATTGATACCACAAAGCCTGGAAATTGATATCCACACAACATATGTAAGGATATTATAACCAAGAAGGCAAAGTATATAATGTACACAGATATGGACAGTTAAACTTATAGTAAACAACAACCTGAGAATGTGACTGTACACTCCCAATTATTGTAAAACAACATGCAACTTTTACACATATTAACATGTACAATTAACCTTTTAGTTCCTCTCAAGTTTGAAAATAAATAAATGTTCCTAAAAGAAAAGGTTGCGTTTCACAATTGACATTAGTTCACTGAATACTGGTCCACAGTGTTTAGCTGGTAACAATAGGTTGACTAACAATGACCTGTATTACAAAGTCTTTCTGGATCTTGGTGTCCTGTAAGCGGGTTTTATCTGTAAGAAGCTTTCCAGAGAAAAACCAGCGCTGGTGAGCGGTATCAATGTCTTCCTGAATTTGGAGCTGTTTCTTGAGCTGACGAATGGAATCGGCCATGGTGACACTGAGGCGAAGGTCTTTCCCAGTGGACAGACGAACCTTCAACTGAAACTCCTTCTCTTTTTTCTCCTGTGGCTCAGCGTTTTCAGACGCATTATGATCGTTGCACTCAGAGACCAGGTTGACAGGTGGAGACAAGCAGTATGCAGGAAGCTGATAGCGGTTCCCCAGTTCATCATAACACTCCATGAGGGATCCTGAAGGGCAAAGCAAACTACTTATTTAAATAAGCTGAATCAACACAGTTCTTGAGTTTTTTTTGATGGGACAACTTAATTGTTTTATGTTTAATCCACTTAAATAAGTAAAATCAATTAGCTTGCTTTGTGTTGGGACAACATGAAGGAATTGTGCATTTTGTTTTTTACAGTGTTATATTCAAGTAAAGGATCTGCATTCATTTAATCTTCTAAGTTTCCTTCAATTTATTGAAATGTATTTTGAACAATCAGTCAGACCCTAAATTTCTTTTTTGTTGAAAAATCAAAATAAATGAAAAGAAACTAAGATGATTAATTGAATGACGATCCTTTAATTGAACACTATTAATAAAAAATGTTGTACTTATTTTGCTTACTGAAGGACCATGGCACCCTTTTAAATGTGTTTTTCCTGCTTTAATGAGAAATTGAATGTATAAAAGTTTATTTGTCGACTGGAGAACTCTTTTAATAGCATTTTAATGTTGTTTACTGACATGTGTTTTGACGTGTCACCTTTGAGGAAGTATTGGCATAGCTGTCTTTTTCAGTGCTAATGGACCTAGTGTCTGGAAGTTGAATTTATTCATCAAATGTCTAGATCAGTGGTTCCCAAAGTAGAGATTGCTTGGTGATTTCCTAAAATTAAATTCATTTGATTAAACTATTTGAATTACCCTTTTTTATCCATAACCTATAGAAGATAAAACAGTAGTTAGTAGTTACATTGAAAAAACAACATGCAATTTTTTTTTCATTGGATTGTGACCCCTTGGGTCATTACGTTAGATTAAACACACAGCGATGGGGTCAGATGCAGCAGATTGATTTCAAGGCACCAGATCAAACTTTCTGATGATCTCTGAGTGGCGTTCTCCAAAATTAACGTAGAATAGACTTGGGCCTATTGGTGTGTGTGCACTGTTGCATGCTAGGTTTGTATATTTATAACCCCCTCAGAGAAGATAGGGGGTCGCGAGTCACTGGCATTGGTATTTTAAGGGTCGAGGGCTAAAAAGTTTTAAACTCCTGGTTTAGATAAAAAAATAATAATAATTTAAACTCTCTCCTATTATAAAATGTTAAGTATTTACCATGAGGCAGTGTGATGCTGGCTCCATCTACAATAGCCTGTGCTAGTTGGTGGTCGTTACATTCAATCGCCACAGCTGCAGCTTTGAGCGCGTCCCAGATCTCTTTACGGCCGTCAAAAGCTGGGGCTGTATCCCAGAATTCATCCCTTTTACTGCGCAGCTGGCCCTCCGTCATAGGATAGTCACTTTTCCACTTGGGCTTATCTTTCTTCAGGGGCTCGTTGCGTCCTAGAGAAGAAGAAAAAAAACAGGCGAAGGTAGAAATGTTACATCCAGATCCACTAAGAGTTTGAAGTTTTATATCTGGATCACTTAATATTTCACAAAAAGGTTCTAACCTAGAACAACATCACTTCCATCTAACCAATGGGCTATGTTATATGCACATCTAGTGTTTTTCAGCCAATGTTGAACTTCCAATGAACGGTTAATGTGGCTATTTTCAATTGAATAATGTTCCTTTTACAGCATCTATGTTGTGATTACAATATAATCAATTAAATAGACTTAAATATCCATTTGTAAAAAGAGACAAAAGACACAGACGCCATTATTATCAGCATGCAAGCACAAAAACTCTTCTATATTTCAGAGACATTGTGCGGAAAAATATTATTTAATGCAGTGCTTGTTGTTTGGTTTGATACCCACTTTATATTGTATATCAGCCAGGCAGTGATGATTGCTCTTTGTTAAAGAAATCAGATCTTAAACGCAGCGATTTTGTAAGGGATGACAATTCACTTGAAGCCTTGGAGCTGGTTGACTGAAATTAAAAGTCTGTGTGCATACACTACATTGTATATGACAGCACAGGATTGGTCCTAATGAGACTCAGTTCTGATATTAGACCGATTTCCCATCTGAGCTCATCTAACGCTTCATCAATCATAAAGCTGTGCATTTAAGAGATATTACATAAATAAATATTGAATAAAACTGATAGACATTGATTTACACAGTATTTTCAGCTAATTTTTATCAATATACTACTATGGATGGTAATGGCTACCAGTTTCCAGCATTCTTTTCTGAAATGTGTGTATTCCTTTTGATTGTGTGAGATGTTCTGTATATACTGCACATTCAAAAGGAATACACACACATTCACATACACATATATTACAACAAATAGGCCCAGTTTCACAAACAGGGTTTAGATTAAGTCAAAACTAGGCCTTAGATAAATTAGGCTATTTAAGCCACATTTATAATAATGGCCTTAGAAAAATTTATAACTGGTGTGCACCTGGAGACAAAAAAACGACACTGATCTATTTAAAGATATCTCACCGCAAGTTATTTTGAGTTGAGACAGCTTGAACAAGAAATTTAATCCTGACTAGCCTTAAACCTTGTTTGTGAAACCAGGGGATAAAGTATAGGATTACATCACATTAACATAAACCACATTGATAAAAACAATAATGAAAAAATAATTAAAACAATAAGTAAACTAACTAACTAACAAACAAACAAACAAACAAACTAACTAACTAACTGACTGACTGACTGATTGACTGACTGACTGACTAACTAACTAACAAACTAACTAACAAAGTGACTAACTAACTAACTAACTAAAATAAATACATTATAAATAAATAAATATAATACAATTAATATTGCAAACTAATAGGAGAATTACTCATGTACATTTACTCATATAAAACAGGTTTCCAGCGACAGAATAAATAAACTCATAATAGATGAGAACCATTTAAGGGCATGCAAATAGTGAATCAAATTCATATTTAGGTGAACTGTCCCTTTAAATGTTACTTTAATGACTACTTGTGCTTTAAATGAACTATGAACCCTTGTGGATTAAATGTAGTAATGCAGTGCAAATCTGCATCAAAACCACAAGCTAAATCCCAACAGTCCAACAGCTTAATGCCAACTAAACAGAAGAGCACATGTGGGCCAAAGGGAAATCCCTTTTGGAAGAAGTCTATTGGCTCAGTGGCTGAATCATGTGTACACAAACAAAACGTGACAATTGCATAACATGCAATATAGGATACCGTAGCTACATTGAATCAATCACAACCAAACCTGCTATGGAGTCAAAGCGCTCAATGTGATACACCGGAGAAAAACAAATTATTTATAGTGTCTGAGATTAAAGCTTTAATCGGGTGATGCAAAACAGGATTTGGTGGCTTCTTTCCCATCATGCATCACTCCAGGATGACAGTTTACATGAGCAGAATGTCACAAAACAAACACACCAGCATATTCACAATTTAGAGTTGAACACTGAATGGAAAAAATACATTCAAATAAAATAGGTTAGACTTTAAGTTAACATACCATTATTAAAACAACAATAAAAAACTATATTGTGATTTATACAGTATTGAAGCCCATTGTGTAAGGCAATCTGTAATAGACTAGCATGTACAACACACATTTAAAGTATTACTGGGCTACAAATCAGCTAGTCCATCTGACATCTTGCTGTTGTGCAAATCCTTTTCAATTACTAAATACAGGAGATTAAATGTTCATTTAATTTGCTAACACACTGTAAAAATGCTGGGTTCCAACCAATTCCATCATGTTGTTTCAAAACAAATCGATTAAGTAAACTTAATCGTTTTTACAAATTTAAGTGGATTGAACATAAAGCAATTAAGTTGTCCCCCAAAAATCTTAAGAATTATATTGTTTCAATTTATGTTAAATAAGTAGTTTGAACAAGCAGCAAAAGTACGAATGTCTCAGGTCAAGGAACATTGGTATGACAGAAAGAAGACAAAACTATTTAAAACAAACAAACAAACAAACAAAAAAAGATAAGCTAGCATGACCAAAAAGGTAATTAAAAAATAACCAATAATTTCTTTAAATTTAGGCTAATAATCAAAAGATATCTTATAAACAATCTTATCTTGCACACTGCTAAAGTTACTTACTTTTCAGCACTACTGTTATGGTTGGTCGATAGTCTCTTGAGTTTGCAACTCCCATGATCAGAACGGTCCCTTATTCCTTCAATCAGTAAAAAGTTAAAGGACTGCCGCACTGTCGCTCCTATGACTTCATGCGGAGGTTGAGGAATAATCAATTACACGTGTACTACACGGTGTCTAACACTCACTAGCAGCTTAGTACAGTTTCTTGCAAACTGCACATGACCATCACCTTTTTTTCTAAAACTAAAAATAACTGCTACACGAATATAAATCAAAAGCGAGTGTCCTAAATAGCTTGTATGCAGGAAATAGCTCCTGTGTTTGCAATCTCTGGCTTGGGTTTATGTCTGTGAGTGACTTTTCACAACAGACAGCTCTATTTCGGACCAGGAGGGACGGTCATAAATAAACTGTAAATCCCAGGATTGCCCCAAGCAGGTGCACCCAGCCAGTTCAAATACGTCTAATCTCAGATGGCTCGATAATAAAGGATTTCTAGGTAAAGGAAGAACATTTTAATATCAAAATAAGCAAGTAATCCAAAATTCCTTCTAAAGTTTATATAATGTCCAACATGTCATCAAAATTCATTCAGAAAACATGTTCACTGAGTCAAAACATCTTTCACACGCCTCAGAATTATATTTTATTTTACCCATGGGTTTAATCTTGTGAGTTATGCAATTGTGAAATAATTCAGAATTTCTCTAACTGCCATTTAAAAGATTATCTAAAGGTTGTCTATGAGATTTGGACGCCCAACAAAAAAAATTTTAGATAATAAAAATATATGATTTTAAAGAATAAAATGATACAACAATAACATCAATTAAATAAAAAGAAAATAAAAGTAAAATAATATACGTAACTATTAATAGCAGTAAAATCAATATATTTAATAGCAAACTAAACAAAATAAATGATTTAATCATGAAATAAAAATTATTTATTTAACTTATAAGGTAATTAACGTCAAAAATGTTTTTTTAAATAATATAAACATTTCTCTGTGCACTGTAAAATATGCTGATTTACACACAATTGATTTGTGTTGTGACAACAAAAAAGAATTAATATAATTTATTAGTTTGTACAAATTTAAGTGCATTGAACATACAACAATCAAGTTGTCCCATAAACCTCAATAATTGTGTTGTTTCAACTCTAAATAAGTAGTTTGAACAAACAGCAAATATATATTTTTATATAACTGAGTATAACCGAGTCTTTACAGGGAGTTTCATATTGATTGAGTGATATTTCAAGCTCTGTGGCATCTAGAAGACTAAAAATACCCAGTTTTATGGCGTGACGTCTTTCATAGTTATACATTTTCCAACAAGCTGGACAAGGCTGTGACTTGGGAGTATGACAAAGTTTCTCATCAGAAAATTTTACACTATTTGCAAACATAATCGCTCAAGGTCGTCCGATTCTGAATTGCAAGCAGATTAAATCTTACCTCCTCGTTTGTTGCCGTTGCTGGGTGCATTTCTGGAGGACAGGCGAGACCTTTGACGGATCACTCCAAAACAACTTCCCATCCCTCAAACTACCATCAGGACCAAGCCCCCCACGCCTGACAGCCACCGAATACATGCATTTCTATCCAAACCAAAAGGCAGTGACGTCAGCAAGTGATATTTGGCCGTTCCAGAAGAAAGATTGTGTCTAACTAATATACTCCTATTTTCTGTTGTCAGATGTACTGGTGTCTGAGGAGAGACACAAGCTCGTTGTTTTCCGCTGAGTCGACATGTGACTTAAGCTGATCAGCAAACCCTCCACAAAGACAAAGTTATCAGACTAATGCTATCAACCGACTGCTAGGCTATTATTAGTAAGTCCTTGATATTTGGAACTTGATATTTAAGTCTCGTAACACAAAAGATATATCCCATATCCTTGTAAACGCAGACATTCAAATACCTGAAAAATAAACATGAAGACATGAAGTGATGAAATCGGTGAGGTGGTAAAACCGTGGCTAGAGGGCGCTCGTGTACATTACCGTAAGCGATTTTGATAAATATAAATGATTGTTTTCTTTATTTAGGTTCTGTAAAGCAGTTTTGGAATAATGTGCTTTTTGAAAAATAATCTCGCCTATAATGTTCACAAATTATTCATTGCTTTTTTTTGTAGCATTTTGGATGATCTGCCGCGTCTTCATTGACGTTTTGTCTGCTTTTGATTTCAGTATTGTACTAAATCATTTTCAATAATATACCTTTCATTTCTTCGCGGGTCTTTGATGTACACTTGGTTCTAAATACTTATAAATACTTATACTTATCTTGAGCTCAATGGGTTTTTATCTGGTTAAATAAAGAAACATATTATTCAAGCTGTCTGATACAAAAAAAAGTCAGAATGTAGATTCACTGAACTATAAAAACCATTATTCTGATTACAGTAAGTGTTACTAAAGCTTAAAAACAAACCATATGAATTATTTAGCCACTAATTAATTTTAAGCTGACATTAAGGTCATCTTTTACAGATTTGGTCAACTTTAATAATAATTAAATTAAGCAAAATAAAATTATAGTAATTCATTAATAATAAAATATTAGGTAGATAAAATTAGATAAAAAATAGATTAAACATTAATGTAAATAAATTTATATATTTTTTCCAAAGCACAAAACATCTACAGTTAGTGTTATATCTGTTACATATTAAATATCCTTTTAGTGGAATATCGTGACAAAACCTGATATTATAAAATGATTATACACTGCCATCTAAAGGCAGTAATATTTATTGTAAAGCAATGCAAAATAAATGGAGTGTATATAAAAAAGCTAAATACAAGACACTTAAATTACAAAAAACTGTAAAACATTTTACCAAGAAGTGCTGTGAAAAAAACATTTATTTTAAATGTAATAAAATCCTAGGGAAGTTTTCAGACATGGTTGACTTTGGAAATGGATTTCAGTGCATTTAAATAGCGATATTGTACATGTCATAAATAAAGATTTAAAAATACTATTTACATAAGCCCTACAAGGTTACTAACCCTGCTTTAAGCACATTATCTTCCACTGATAGCACAGACAACTGCCATGGATTTCATTATTTAAAAAAATGATAGAAAACATCCAAAAAATGTAGGGTATTTTTTGAGGACAGCCCTTTCATTTGGCCAGAAAGAGCAAAAGTCATTGAGTGAGGCCCCGTTTACACTAATGCGTTTTAGTTTGAAAACGCATAAGTTTTGCTACGGTTACGCCATCCGTCCACACTACGCCGGAGTTCTCGAGCGCCGAAAACGGAGCGTTTCGAAAACGCTGGAGAGGCCGTTTTCATTCTAAAACGCTGCTGCTCCGTCTCAGTGTGGATGGGGAAAGACGGAGACATCTGAAAACGGAGGCGGGGCTGCAGACATTCGCCTCTCTGATTGGGGCTTTTCCTCAATATTAAGTAGCCTAACACACAGTTCAGTCCTGAATCTTCTCCGTGTAAGTTCAGACTTCGCTAGTTTGAACAAGGCTGCATCTCTTCTTCTCAGTTTGATATGGAAAACATACCGAGGACACGCGTCAATCTTCACAGGGAACAGTGTACTTTATAACTTCATTCACATCACCTTGGCTACGTTGTTTCACTTTCTCAACACTAAAATGTAAACTTGATATAAGGAACTGCCTATTTTTATTTTTAACAACTAAACAGACAGCAGAAATGTTGAGACGCCGTGCTGCACGAGCGTCATCTTCACTGTGTGCATATTTATAACAAAACGGAGCCGATAACAACTGCCTCCTTTCAATTTCAGTGAAAATACGAAACACACCCTCTCTTTTGCTGAATATCAGTTTTAATAATCGATAATGGCCATTATAAAAGTATAACATACAATAAGTGTATACATTATAGGAAATAAAGGCAAGCGATCAGTCAATATACAGAATGTAGGCTACGTGGTTACATTAATCATTAACTTATCTTTGCGCTCAGCCAAAACACGTTACCTGAGAACAAGTAATAGATTCCAGTGACGAAAGTCAGGGAATATGTCGTTAGATAAAGACAACAAGATGAATGAAATATCACGTTTAATAAATATAGTGAGATTAGATCCAGCGGGAGATGCTTGATGAGAAGTCCGACTAGCAGAGCTCTCATCTGGGTAGATGGGCTCCAGCGATTGCCAAAGTGTGTGTGTGTGGTCACGTGATGTGCGTTTTCAGCGTTTTGGTGTGGACGGAGAGCAGTTCAGAAACGCTGGGTAAAACGCGAGTGTGGACGCGGATCGTTTTCATTCTAAAACGCCGTTTTAAAACTAAAACGCACTAGTGTAAACGGGGCCTGAGATCACTGGGTAAATCTGGGCTCTTCAGACTCCTGTGTTCTCCGGGTTCTGGTTCTGCATTCAGCCTTGGCACAGCGGGTGAGACTGGCATCATTAACTCACACTGTCAAGTCTTTTCAAATCTCAAACTGGCATCATGTCTTTTTTAAGAGGGTAAATGTCCCATGTCAGTCCATCACCGTAAGGAGCATGTCCAGAGGGTAAGAGAACACGTGTCAGCCAATGACTGTGGAGAAAAGCATAACTGAAATGAAACCACAGCTTACAGACTGCAGAATTACATGAAGAGGATGCAATATAGGTCAATTCACCTTCTCTTCTCTACACCAAAGAACACTTTCCAGTTGTTTAGTTTGCCATAACTGAAAGGATTCCGGTAGACCTTTAAGCAATTGTAGTTGTAGATTAAAATAAACAGAATAACAGGTCAAACAGTCAAAAGGGCAATTTTGAATGACTCTCAATGCATTCTCACCCTTCCACGTTTAGCCAAACGTTTGGCCTCTTTGCCGTTTATATGGCGCTCAATGCTGGTTTCTCCACGGGTGATGAGTAGAGCGTGCCACAGAGTGAGAGCTCCAAGAGCGACAGACACAGTGCTGATGGAAAACACAGCAAACATTACAAAACATGCAAGTCTACAGAAATAATAAAAAAGACTTATGAAAGAACAGCCTCTGTAAATTGCGTACCTTGTAAGGACCCACATGTAGATAACACTCTTGTGAAACATTCTGTCCTTGTAGGTGTACGGAGGTTGCGAAACCTCCTGTGTCCAGCACAGAATGAGAGGACAAAAAGATTCTCTGTTATTTCAAATATATAGCATAATAATACATATTATAAATATATTCTTTTTACAAATAACACACTAGAATGATTAGTTATTAAATGTAATCCAGGTTACTCTTTTTACGTAATGTATTAGGACTACTTTGTATTACACTCAACGGCCACTTTATTAGGTACACCTGCCCAACTGCTTGTTAATGCTAATTCCTAATCAGCCAATCACATGGCAGCAACTGAATGCATTTAGGCATGTAGACATGATCAAGACGATCTGCTGCAGTTCAAACCGGGCATCAGAATGGGGAAGAAAGCTGATTTAAGTGACTTTGAACCTGGCATGATTGTTGGTGCCAGACGGGCTGGTGTGAGTATTTCAGAAACTGCTGATCTACTGGGATTTTACATGCACAACCATCTCTAGGGTTTACAGAAAATGGTCTGGAAAAAAAGAAAATATCCAGTGAGCGGCAGTTCTGTGGGTGCAAATGCCTTGTTGATGCCAGAGGTCAGAGGAGAATGGCCAGACTGGTTCGAGCTGATAGAAAGGCAACAGTAACTCAAATAGCCACTCGTTACAACCAAGTTATACAGAAGAGAATCTCTGAACGCACAACACATCCAACCTTGAGCCGGATGGGCTACAGCAGCATAAGACCACACAGGGTGCCATTCTTGTCAGCTAAGGATGGAAAACAGAGGCTACAATTTGCACTGGCCTACCAAAATTGGACCATAGAAGATTGGAAAAACTCTGCCTGGTCTGATGAGTCTCGATTGCTACGGCAACATTCGGATGGTAGGGTCAGAATTTGGCGTCAACAACATGAACAGCTTGTTGAAGCTATGCTGAAGGATTAGGGCAGTTCAAAAGGCAAAAATGGGTCCGACAAGGTATTAGTAGGTGTACCTAATAAAGTGGCCGGTGAGTATGTTTATATATATTTTTCAGTAAAAGAGGGCTGGCTAACAAAATAAAAGTTGGAAATTACATACGTTACAATGAAGAAGTTTGTTAGAATTTTAAAACACTTTTGATATATGTAAATATATACATTTCAGATAAAACTATTTATTTATTTATTTGTAAAACATGTTTATGGACATGAACACATTATTCAAGAATAAAAAATAAGACCGTAATTAAACACTTTCTCGATTCATTGTTCCAAATGGAAATATAAGTTCTTACCTATTAGAGCTTAAAGAGTCTAAAGTTCATTAGTAAATCCACCCTCATCCAATTGTGACAAAAGCAGTGTCAGTAAGTAATACTAATTTAACTGTGTGCTGTTAGAAGCGGGATAAGGAAGGTCAGAAATAATTTGTTGGCGTTTATAGAATCTTGTTTGTTTTAAGAGCATCACATAATGTGATAAAGAAAGGCAGATCCAAAGCCAAGACAGAAGTAGAAACAATAACCTGAGCCACCTGTACTGCCTTCCCAGCCACACCTGCTGACGGGACAATGCCAATGAGCAACCCAATCCCCGTCACTGGAACACCCTGTTTCTCTGCTTCCAAATGCTTCAATTGCTATGGAATAGCAGAGAGACAGCTGGAAGTTAAGACAAACCCACATCCCATGATTTAGAGAAAAGAAGAGACACAACTATTCAAAAGGATAAAAGTTAAACACCATTTCATATGAATAAATAGAGATTCAAAATAAAGCCTACAGAGGTGTTTTACAAGTTTAAGCAAAAGAAAGGGAAAGATTTAAACTTCTATGACAATAAAAATCTAAATGAGCAAAATGGAAAAGCACAAAATCAAAGCATCAAATGCATTAAAAAAGAACACAGCCTTACATCTATAGTATTGTATGCATCGATAAAGAGATGCCGACCGCTGACGCTACAGTACATGCAGCCCAAAGTCAAAAAGAGACAAAAGGAGAAGAAGTAACGATGATTGAAATGACCAACACAGTTGTTAAGCCAAGCTGAAACGATGTAATTAAGGAAAAAACTACAAAGGAAAAACAATCAATAGTATCTGTTGTTAAAAAAAATCTCACCCAATTTAATCAATTTAATTTACTTTGAATATTCGTTCAATTCGAATTTAAGTTACATTGCCACTTACTCACATTTTTTCCATTCTTAACCACCTCTATTTTGTGTATATTACTATCTATCTATCTATCTATCTATCTATCTATCTATCTATCTATCTATCTATCTATCTATCTATCTATCTATCTATCTATCTATCTACCTACCTACCTACCTACCTACCTACCTACCTACCTATCTATCTATCTATCTATCTACCGTTGAAGTCAGAATTATTAGCCCCCCTTTACATTTTTATTTCTTTTTTTAAATATTTCCCAAATGATGTTTGACAGAGCAAAGAAATTTTCACTTAATGTCTGATAATATTTTTTTAAACACCATTTTAAGGACAAAATTATTAGCCTCTTTAGGCAATTTTTTTCCAATAGTCTACAGAAAAAAAACATTGTTTTACAATGACTTGCCTAATTACCCTAACCCGCCTAGTTAACCTAATTAACCTAGTTAAATGGAAGTTACATTCCAGTTGTCTGCTTCACTTTTTGGCTGATCCGAAAAATGGGCCAATACGTGACTAAAAAACAATAAAGTGATCCAAACCGTAAGATTTGTGATACATTACGCCACTAATATGTATACTTCCCCACTGCTGAACTATACTAAAACTGTGCTGATACTTCTTTTCCATGTCATTATAATAAATAATGCAAAAGCCTTATTAAACAATCATAAAAGCTGTCCATTTAACTTGCATATGCAGGTTTTAGAACAACACAAGTATGAATAAATGATGACTGAATAAACACCACACTGGGTGAACCATCTAACTATTTAACTGTGTATATTACATAGCAAGTTAAGTCGACGCTTGTTCTTAAGTCGTATGGTGATTTACAAAGGATACGGCAATGATGATCCATTTTTAGTATACATCTGGAGAAAGAGAACAAAAACAGAGGGATGTTAGTATATGCTAGAACAAAAATGCAAAGACACTGAGCCACTAATTTCATTTTATAAGTCACACAGAAGACAGTGTTACACTTACGTTTTACAGATACCACAGTGATGACTTCGTGCTGGTTTAGGAATGATGCACTTTTTACAGACAGACACAAATGGGACGTCAGTTTTCATCTAAAAAATATTGTGAAAAAAGCATGAATGACACTGAACACACACATCCGTTTTGCTAGTTTGGCATGTGTAATAGATCATCTGAACCTTTGGAGGGTATCCAGGGGGAGTTTTTGTGGCCTTGTAGTAATGGAAGACTATCATGACCAAATTCCAGTGCCCGTAACAGATGTGCCATATCATCCATCCAGGAGAATATGTGTGCAGGACCAACGGTAGAAGACAGAAGTAAGCGATGAAAACCACAGAACTGGTAAGAGCTACTACTAAAAACACAAAAACCTGAAGAGAAAAGAAAAAAGTGGTGCTTGTCAGCCCTTTGAGTCTGAGAAAAAGTTCGCTCTGATCTGTATTTTAAATAATAATGTTAATAATTAAAATAGTAGATATGCATTTTACCACCCTTTGACCATACCATTGTGAATGCATAATCATACCAATCAGTCTATGTGAGAAAAAAGTCATTGAACAGTCTAAAACCAGCAGATTTAGAGCACCGTAAGAGTTCATAATATTGATTTCTCATAAATTAGGTGTATGTTTCTACATAAAGACTAAAAGTAAAGTCAAATTGGATGTGAAGTTTGTATAGTTTGACCTAAAGTAAGCTGAAAATAGTTAATCAGGTCAGAATTAACTATTTTCCTCTTACTCATTGCCTCTTCCACAAAACACTGAACACTTAAGTATATTTTATTAATAAATTAGATGCAATTTCAATACATACATAGATTTGATTCGCTGAAGCATGTATTACACAAGCTAACATTACCGAAAAAGTTGACCCCCCTGATCCTCAATGTATAATTCGCACACTTAATGGAAGTGCCACGTTTTTTAAACAGCACTAGCATAGGAAGGTGCTTACGCAAAGTGTCAGCACTTAGCATTTCTTTAAAGCTCTTGCAGTTGCAGCTGAGCGTTTATAGAAAAGAGCTGGCATTTTTAGCATTGCAAAAACACATTGGTGTACATGCACCCTTAATGCATTGTTTCCATATTTTGATTACTTAAAACATGGACATAATATCTCTATTATGCTCTTTTTAGATAATCATTTTAATACATGGTGCAATGTAGCAGTTTGTAAATGTAAAAGGTGTGCAAAGTTTTAAAGATGTTCACTATGGTCTCCTAAAGTAAAAAAAAAAAAAAGCTTCAAGAATCAGCAATCCTAGTTCCACTTTTAAAATGGATCTTTGTACATTTGTTAAAGTAATGTAAAATAGTTTGGATAATGCCAGTCTATAGCCTTCATTGCCTGCCTGCAAACAACAACTACTTTGAACAGCCCCAAAAAAATTCATTTGGTTTTAAACTAAAATCTTCCAATGACAGATCATCAGACTCGGGTTTGAATTAGGGCTGCACAATATATAGTTTCAGCATTGACATCACAATGTGATCATTCGCAACAGCCACATCGCAGGATATATGCAAGGTTGAGTCTGGATTATAAATGATTATTTTGCAAGTGTTTTTGCGGCCTGTGACTGTGTGAGGGTTTTAAAAAGCATTCAGGCATAAGAAATTGTACCATTGGTAACTTTGACAAATTATTAACAGTTAATTTTATTGAATTGTTTATAAAACAGACATGTGGTATTATTTTAGATTTTATTTTTAATTTACTATATACCTTAATACAGTTTGAATCCTCGGAAAACAATAAAACCATGTTTTATTAATTTGATCTTTTTCTTTATCGGATATATCTATGCTTGTAGATTGTTTATTATATTTTGTGCACTCCTATACAGAATCATCCCAATCAATCTATTTAATTATAAATACATTCCAAATAGTTATTCATGTCATTTATTGAAATTGTATTTCTATCGCAATACATATTGCAGAATAAATCAATATTGCAATGTTAGATTTTTTTCATATCGTACAGTCCTAGTTTGAACTGATACAATAAAATCATTAGCAAAAATTGCTGTTCAATCAGTAAGGATGGAGGAATCGTCCCGATTTAAAATTCAGACAAATTAATGAACATTTAGTCCATCAAGATTTATTTCTGCCACTTTTTTTCTTTACTATAACAAGATAGTAGGGCTGCACAATATATTGTTTCAGCATTGATATCTGAAAGTCACATTAAAGAATTTACAATCTGAAGTTATGATTATAATAAACCAGAATCACACAGTTCAAAACATGTGAGTTATGGATCTTTCCAAAGTAAGGTCATCTAGTAAAATCATATCGCAATATATATTGCAGAAAAACTAAATACCGCAATGTCAGTTTTTTCCAATATAGTGCAGCCCTACAGGACAGTATATAAGACCAATAACAGCAGCCTGGGCCATCAGACCAATCAGTGCAGAGAAGGCTTGTGAAAACTTTAGATTAGACTTATGAGAATCATGAATTAGGCTTATGAAAAAGGTTGAGAAAGTAGGAAATGTTTTAGAGTCCTAAAGAAATGATATGATGTGAAATGTATATTATAAGAAAACTTGGATTAATGTAACCCTATTGGATTAATGTAACCCTATTATAGGAGGCATCAAAAACAAAATTAGCAACATCTGAAAAAGCATAAAAGTGGTGCTATTAAATAGCTTTTATATTTGCAAACATAAAAAAACAATTAATGATACTATATGAGTAAAGAAAGATTTACCATTCCAAACCAGCGTGTGACAACCTCCACCATCCAAAACACTGGTTCAAGAATGGAGTCCGTCACCACATCAGAGTTAGTGAGCGAGTTAAAATAAAGGGACTTGAAGATGAGTCTGATATAGCTGACATGTCTCCTCAGTCTTCTGGGCACGCGACTTCGAGTGTGTCTGCAACACCCGCGCATGCATCTCAGCAGCAGGTGCAGGACAGAAGAGCAGGGATGCATGTTCAGCCCCTGCAAAGACCAGATGAAATCCTTTCATAACCTGTTCCAAATTCCTGAAAATCGGCACAAGCAGGTTCCTACAGCCTGCAATTTTCTCATGGACAATTCCCCAGGAGTTGAACTTGTAAGCCAATTAGATTAACAAAGTATCCACCTAAGCAGTTGCTGTGGACTGATCCAAACCAATAATCCAAGCATGGTTTAGTTTCCTGATACCTGAGGATTATCTGACATATCACAAAGATTTAAAAGATGGATTAGCTTTATTGTCTACAGTTTGTAGAAGGCAGCATGCTTTACGTCATTGTTGGTTAACAATGCAGACCTGCTGCCCATTATAAGTTTACTTAAGTCTACAATAAAACAGGCATAGTTAGGCCAGTGACTAATACGCCTTCCCTTGGACTGGTGATAATCAGACCTTTAATCTTACTAGAAGGTTTCAAACCATCCCATTAAGAGTCACAGATTGGGAACTTGAGATAATATAAACATCTCAGTTCCATTCAAAGATGTAGCCAGGACCAGGGACGAATAAAAATTGTTTAAATGTATTTTAAAAGTGAAGTTTAAATCACTGAATTTGTGAATGATGGGGGTGTTTTCACAGATAGAATTCAACAATGTTCATAACTGTTTTACTGCATGCCTAGACATAGTACAATTCACAAAGATCTACCATTCACAACAATCAACAACAAATCTGGATTGTCTACATTCCGTTCAAAAGAGTAAATGGGGAGGAAACACCACCCAAATGATGTAACAATGTTAATGAGGCAAATACATACACAAGCAAAAAGAAATGTGACAGTTAAAGTGGGCAATAGACACTGTGAGATTATTGGACAAATAGCCAACATCATACACCTCCCCCAATGACATGAACAGACTATAATCTCAGTGACAGACTGTGTGTATGTGCCTTTAAAATGACAACAAAAATATATTATATGGTGATACATTTTTAGTTATTAGATGTGTTAAATTTGAGGGAGAATATACAATATCTATCTATCTATCTATCTATCTATCTATCTATCTATCTATCTATCTATCTATCTGTATGTCTGTCTATCTATCTATCTATCTATCTATCTACATCAATGATGAGAAGAAATATCACATTATTTATTGGAATTGATGGTTCAATGAAGAACCTTTATCGTTCATTGAACCTTTTAATTCCACAATGATTCTTTTCAGAGGAAAGGGATTCTTCAGATGTTTACAATAATATTTTTAAGAACAGATCATTAAACGATCTTTGTAGAACAACAGCAACAACAAAACATTTATGACATTAAAACATTTTAGAATCTTTGATGTTGAAAACAAAATCAGTAATATTTAAACCCTAGACCTGACAGAATCAAAATGCAAGAGCTAACATCACAAAGCTTTCCGTTTCAGAAATGTATAAGCTATGTGTGTACGTTACATAGGTAATCTTACCTTCCCTCGATCTTGTCCTAAAATTGGGATAAACTCAACTCATGATACCGCTGATTATTTCGGGAGACAGATGGAGAAAATAAATGGAAGCAGTTGTTTTTACCCCCTTTGATTTCATCTGCTGTCTGTCTGTCTGACGCGCTGCGATGTGAGTGAGCTGTCACGCTGGGAATTCTGGGTATTGGAGTTTACGGTGCGATTAGCAAAAATAACTTTTAATGTTTTTCATAATGTCTATTTTTATATTATTAGTAATCAAAAATTATATTATAGAATAAGATACGCAATTAATTAACGGTAGATCAGATATTATTTTCCCAATATTTGCACAGTTAGAGAAAAGAATCATGGGAATTGTAGTTTGATTAATGAACAAATCATAGTGGCGAATCGGTTCTTTTGAATAACTTGTTTAAACCAAACAAACGGCTCACAAAACAATTCAGCAATCATGTTTCCTAGTGCGAGTTTGTTCTTTAAAAAAATTCCGTTTGTATGTTTGAGTAAACTGAAGCTATTGTAATGTTCAAACAACTATCAATAATAGTTATATTGTCGTTTATTGCCTGTTTCTTGAATGTGCCTAGTAGTAATACATTTTTCCAAGATGGTTGCGATCATGTTTTAAATTATTTTATTATAAAGGCATTTTATATTAGTTTTATAAATAACTTAAAACAGGTTGTTAATTAAACAAATATACAATACTAAACCATATGTATATCTCTCTATTAAAATATATTTGTAAAAATGCTGTTCAAATACCTCGGATCGATTCCATTGTAAAGATCCGACTCAAAAGAACCATTCGTTGAAGAATCGAACGACAGTAGCTTACACGTGCTAATTTACCACGGGAGCAAAAACAGAAACATGGCATTCAGTTTTAACTTCGATATTCCATTAGTGACAGAAGAAACGGATGATAAAGAAAATAAAAGCGACAAAGCAAAAGATGTGGATCTAAAGTGCTCGGTGAGATTATTTATCATTAACTTAGCTTAGCCATCTCTGCTAATGCTGCAAAGAGCTTACTTTAATATAAAACTATGCTTCAAAAGTATTTTCTCCATTAAACCAAATGATTAATAGTACGATGCAAGAATGAATAAGCAAACCGTGGGTCACAATACACGTCAAAAGGTCATACTATATATATATATATATATATATATATATATATATATATATATATATATATATATATATATATATATATTTGTTGTTGTTTTTTTCAGAAAACCAGTACAACTGTCCTAAAGTTGAAGGATGCTCTCGAACACAAACCTTCCTTGAATCCTCTCTCCAAAATTGAAAACTGGGTACCTGAAACCATCACCATAGGGTCTCTGCCTCCTCTACTTTGTCTGAATGAATCAGTGTTTGAGAAGACGTCCTGTGAAAAAGAGGACAGTGAGGAGATTCTGGCCAAAACATTGACACAAAACTCCGACCTCATCTCTGGAGTCTATGAAGGTGGACTGAAGATATGGGAATGTACTTATGATCTCCTTGAGTACATTGATAATGAAGGAGAGGTTTTCTCAGGAAAAAGGGTGTTAGACTTGGGCTGTGGTGCAGGTTTACTTGGCATACTTGCATTGAAGAGAGGAGCCATCAGAGTCGACTTCCAAGATTACAACAGCACTGTGATAGAGCAGTTAACAATACCAAATGTGTTCCTCAACTGTGAAGAAGATGATGAGGATGATGATGATGATAGCAGCCCACCGCTTAAGAGGAAATCTTTAAATTCGTCACAGGAATTACTAGATCATTGTGGTTTCTTCTCAGGTGACTGGAACTCTTTTCTTGCACTTATGCAAAAGAAAGCCTCAGTGCCAAAGTATGACATTATCTTCACCTCAGAAACCATATACAACACAGACTATTACGCTTCTCTTCATAGCGTGTTTACTGATCTGCTTGACAGGAATGGAAATGTTTATTTAGCAACAAAGTCTCATTATTTTGGAGTAGGAGGTGGCCTTCATATGTTCGAGAACTTTGTGGAGGAGAAGAATGCATTTCAGATCAAGTATTTGAAGGATGTGGAGGAAGGCCTGAAGAGACATGTTGTATCGCTGTCATTCAAAAAGTGACAGACGTGTTAATGTGTCTGCTATTATGGTGTGAGTAAACAAGAAATTGGACATCCATCCTTTTAGGTCAAATGCATTGGCTATAGGAACCCATGTTGTGATTTGCTACAAGAACAATTGATAGAGCGAAAAACTGGAATTATTTGGATGAAACATTCTGAAAAATGTTACTTAAAACAAATATTAAATCTGCAATAAATAGTATGTTTTACATGTTAATTCTCATGTAAACCAATATCAAACAAGGATTGACATTAGGCATGGACCGGTAAAAGATTCCGACAGTATGATACCCTTGGTTAGGGCTGGGTGATTAATCGAAAGCGACATTCAGAACTTAAAATTTATCAAATTTTTTCCAAGTCAAATTTTTCGATTATTTTCCTTAGTGTAGTCACATGACCCCACTCTCTTAAGACTGATTCATGCTTCTGCGTCGACTGCACGTGTATGATCCGGCACAGCCTTCGTGTGGTTGTATACCCACAAACCTCTTGAAAAATGTTACTATATATCGCACGTTTGCTCTACATCGATGATGATTGAAAACTGCGCCGGAGATGCCTTGAGATGTCATGTTATCTATTATAATAAAATCATTCTTTACATATAAAATATTTGTTAACTGAAGATGCAAGAAATGCACCATTTAAAATATTACATACAGGATTTTTTTTTTATTTAGGAGAGATCTGGCTTATTTTATACTTTTAAAAAACATTGAAAATAATTAAATTTCCTTCTTAAAGTGCAAGTCATTTTCACTTTTTTACAAGAAAAAAAGTGACTGTTTTAGGTAATGTGGTTCAATTTCAGTTCAGCACTGATGTTCAATAAATAATCATAGGTGGTAGACACTGTGTAAACTTCAGTTATTTTAAAATCAATGCACCCTTCATTTAAAAATCTCAAATGTAATATGCAAGCATATTTACTGTAAAAAATCTGTCAGTGGACTGTGAGGGCAACAAAAATAAAATAAATAATCATTTATTAATTTTAATGAAGTTAAAATGTTCAATTAATCAAGATTTTGATTTAAGGTCAAATCGCCCAACTTTACACTTGCATAAACATCACTCAAGTCATGGTATTGTGATTACTGCTCATTAACTATTACTATTACTCATTAACGATTACTGCGTCTTTTCAAACGCCTCGGTAAAAAACAAAAACTTTTTCCATTTTGAACACAATATATACACAATTTAATTTATTTTGAGAAACATTAAAAAAGTATTTTGGAGCAGTAAACATGTCCGGCTAAATAATTCATGTGAATAATTGACTTCTGCTGTCTTCATTAGTTTCAAAAACACTGATTTCTTTATAATTTAAAATGGCATCTTGGGATATCTTCTGTTGGAGATACTGTTGTTGTCCTAAAAAAAAAAAAAAAAAAAATCTTACATACATTGTAGGAATGGTATAGAAATTTTGGCGGTTGTAAAACCTTTTCCAAACCATGGTACACCTTAAAACAGTTATCGTCCTATGCCTTATTGACATTAGTTTGTGAATTACATCTACAATACATCAAACACACACACAGCAGCAGCAAAGACCAATTAGAACATTTGTTTTAGTTTTGACAATGGTTTAATGTGAAAATCTGTGTGCTTGAGAAAACACGACCAAACACATTCTTCAAAATAAAGTGTAGACGACGTAAATTATGGAATGAATCACACAGAGACAAATCCAAACAAAAATGTGGTCCTTGTAAACTGTTTAACTAATAAATATTTCACAACATTCCAAAGAATTACAAGCTGGTTACATACTTTATAGGTCCTATATTTATTTTAACTTGTACATCCTTCTCCTATAGAGCACCGTCTTGATGGTAAATATAGGAGCCTTGTTTAAAGTAATTCAGTGCTGATGTATAATTTAAAAGTTGTTCATGTAAATACTCTATTTCTTGGCTTTGCCCTGAGCTGCCACAGCCTCCATGGCTTTGCGAACGGTTTCCTCATCCCCGAGGAACTGCATGGGCTTGATGGGCTTCAGGTTCTTGTCCAGCTCGTAAAGAATAGGGATCCCTGTGGGCAGATTCAGCTCCATGATGGCCTCCTCAGACATTCCTGTGAGTGTAAGGAAACAAACTTTAAGGCTATCGAAAAATTTAAATCCAAGGGTAAGAAGGGTAAACACTGTTTTAGGCGTAATACTAAAACCAGATTAAGTTATGCATTTCCAGAAGCCCAAAAAATGTTAAATATATAACAAACTGGTTTTGTGAAAGTCATTCACATATTATGTTTTCAGTCTACAGGCACGCATGCGTGTTTTACTAGCAAAACAAAGATGGCAGATTACATTTAAAAAAAATGCAAAATGTTGACTTTAACTGGAAAGTGAATGTGTTTTTGTTGTTGTGTTAGCTAACAAAAATAACCATGTGTTTGGTTTAAAAAAAAACAAACAAAAAAACAATGTCCCATCATCCCCATAACATTTCAAAGTGATTTGCTGGAATTGATAGTTTCTAATGCATTTTAAAAAACAATTTATAATAAAATCTCCTTGATATGGTTTGAAAAATGTACAATATATAATCATATCAGTTTCATAAACATGCATTGTAAAAAAAATATATATATATATATATATATATATATATATATATATATATATATATATATATATATATATATATATATTCTAAAATTGCTCTGGAAGGCACCTTTTCAAACATTTCACTTAAAATATTTTCAGAATAAAAACGTTCTCTAATATAATTTTAAAATACACATTCTATTAAAATATGTTTTATCAACAAAATATGCTTACACAAGTCACAAATAGTTTTTTCTTCCCCTTTCAATAAATATGAGTGTGTGTTGAGTTTGATTCTACATCGTCCTCTTATTCTATTATGGTAAAATCATAGGGTGATCAGTTTTCATAGATTCAAGTGCTTGTAAGCAGGACATAGAATTTGTGCAAATTAAAAACTGGCTTTGCTGTTCTTTTTTTTTTATCTGTTCTAGAGCAAAAAAACGTGCACAGGCTTCAGCTGTGAATAAAAGATTTTACTAATTTCTAGATTTCAGTGATATAGGTAGTGATTGAGAAGATACTGCAATTACCTTCTAAGTGCTTCACAATGCCTCTCAAACTGTTTCCATGAGCGGCAATCAACACCCGCTTTCCCTCCTTGATTTGAGGCACAATTTCATCATTCCAGAAAGGCAGAGCACGTGCAATAGTGTCCTTCAGACTCTCACAAGAAGGCAGCTGGTCCTCAGTCAGATCACCATAACGTCGGTCCTATATAAAAGACAGAACATAAAAATTGGTGCATTAATGACAGTTCTCCCAAAAATTATAATTTCCTCAATTTCCTTGCCTTTAAATGTTGTAAAATGTTATGAATTTCTTTAAGTTGATTTATTTATTGGCACATCAGTATTTTTTAGCTATTTCATGGCAAAATGGATATACATAAAAATATTACATGATAAAAACAAAATTTGTACTACAATAAAAAGTTACTTAGACAAATATATAAACAGAAATAATAATTAAAATTCACACAAAAATATATTCTTTTAAATATGAATTTTCTGTTAAGTTTTTGATAAATTATTTAGAGTTCTTCCTGGTGGTACCTTTTTAAAAATGTTCAAAGTACTCTCCTTGTAAAGGTTTTGTCTAATGGTATTCAAACTTCCACATTCCAACAAAATATGTTTCATGGTAAGAGCTTCTTTAAGTTGAAAAGAAAAAGATATTCTGAAGAATGTTGGAATCCAGCAGCCATTGACATCCATAGTAGGAACAGAAAATACTATTTAAGTCAATGACTGCTGCTTTACAACATTCTTCAAAATATCTTCTTTTGTCTTCAACAGAACAAAAACGTATCCAAACATGTTGAGATTGAGTGAGGAGAATGAGAATTTTTGTGTGTGTGCGCAACACCCCTTTAATAAATGTTCCATAAACACATGAGTATGTAATAGTGCTAAATATAATGTTTGTGTGGGCAGCTCAGAGAAAAACCAAAGTGCTTAAACAGGATCAACTTTTTTTGTAAGGGGTTTCCTATGCAAATAACGTTTGACCTTTGTTTTCGTTGTCTTTGCACTTATTAACTACAGTAGTAGCACAAAGGTTTCAACGTGTATCAACAACATGCTGCAACATTTATCAGTAAAAAACTTGCATGTTAAGATTTATGAACTTTATGATCATTATTCTACTGAATAAAAAAAATGTAAATGATCAAAATTGATACGCACACCATCATTAGTCAGTATCAAACAATCAGAAAGCAAAAAAATAAATAAAACACACCCTCAATTTCAGAGATGCCAAAACTAAGGCCTGCACTTGGCCCATGGTAACCTTTGAATTTGCCATCCCATCTGAGAATGGTTTAGAGATTGTGATTTCAAATTTGATGTAACTTTTTATTTGTTTGTTTTATTGTTCAGCCACAAAAAAAGCAATCTGAAATTGAACGTTCCAATTTAAATGGTGTAAATGAGTCAGATTTAGTTTACAGTGTACATATGATGCATAGAGGACAATGCAAAGACTTTGGTGAGCGAATCATGTTAAAGGCAGATTCTGCTTGACTATTGTATTTAGCATTAAACTCCTCTGTCTTTAAGATGTGATTATTTTTGTCTTTATTTTAATAATTTTAAAAGTGATACTGCGTTAGTTAATACAATTCAAATGAATGTTTTCTATTTATTTTTTAATGATGAGATGAATTAGGAAATTTCCTATGATAGCAACTTTTTGTAAAATGGTTTGGTATATTTATCTTCGGCCCATGACTATCAATGATATTTGGTTTTTGGCTCTACCCTGCTCTATATAATAGAAGGTATCAGAAACCATTGGGGGTGATAAATCATGATGAAAAAAATATATAACAAATTAACATTTGAATGTATTGAATAGGTAATATAAAGAATTAAATGTTGAACACCATGAAGGCAAGAGACCTCACCTTGCTGATGATGCTGTAAAAGTCATGATCTTCATCCATACTGGGTGGTGGAATGTCATAGGAGCGCCTCCAAATTTTAACCTGGGCTTCACCATGCTTGGCTGCAGTTTCGGCCTTGTTTAACCCAGTGAGACCACCGTAATGGCGTTCATTCAGCCGCCAGGTCCTGTGCACAGGCAGCCACATCTGATCAATACTGTCCAGAACAATCCACAGTGTCCGGATGGCCCTCTTCAGCACAGAGGTGTAACAAATGTCAAACTCAAACCCTGCATCTGCAAAACACACATTTTTTACATTATAGACCCATTATGACATTTGAGGAAGAGCGGGGTGTTATATTTTATTAATATATAACACATTATATTTAATGTGTTTTCAATTTTTAGTACAATATTTGTATTAAATTTCATAACATTAGCTGAAAATTAGTTAGAAATTCATTTTATGGATCCTGATTGAGAAATTCAGCACGTGAATAAAATCACGTCCTGTACTGCACGTTCGCCCCACGTTAGCCCCGCCTCTAATCCGCCAGTAACGAACACACTCCATGATCATTGGTTCAGAGCGTACGCCCGTCACGCAGGAGGCGGACTTGTGCCGGTGATGCACAGACTTCCGATGAAAGTCCTTTTTATTTTCCGATTTGTTTTTACTTATTTAAAACGAAAATTCTTAATGAAAACATTAATAAGACAAAGCCGTCAAACTGACACAAAATAAGCATATTAAGCGTTTAAAACTACTCCACAACACTAGCACGGCAGATTTGCAACTCTTATTTACGATGTAAAAAAAAATATATATTATTACAGACCCTTTAAAGCTTGACCTCCTCTCTTCGCCTCCTGAGCCCCTGTCTCGCTCAGGTCCGCGTCAAACCAGCCACAGAATCGATTCTCTTGGTTCCAGCAGCTCTCGCCATGGCGAATGAGAACCAGCTTGTATGCAGCCATTTGGGAAATGAATACAGACAAATACTAACGGTAGTAGCTGAAGAAAGGACGGCGAGCGAACAGGTTGTTAGACTCTGTCAAGACTACTGTCAAAAAGACCCTCCTCTCATCCGAGAGTCTAATGAAGACGTTTCCGACCTCCCCATCTCTGCGCTCAGCCAATCAGCGCCCCGGGACGATGAGCAACCACGTGAAACTGCAAACACGAAATGGAAAAAACCGTGACCTTCCAGTTAAACCCCTGCCTATTTACAGTGAACTTCTTTCAGCATTTTCTTGGTTTAAATAAAAAAGAAGCAGAGTACAAAATATTTCATCACAGTGTCATCGACACCACCAGACATGAGCAGAATAAAAAAATGATTGAACTAAAACGACCCGGTGCGTGTCTGGACTTCCTTTCTGTCATTTCGTTGGATGTAGATCAGATACATCAGAGCCAATCAAAAGTGACTTATGTTGGTGTGGGCGGGGTTTAGAGCGGAAGCCGATTCGCGCATGAAGTGAGCATGTTTGTAGGATGCTTACTTAAGTTTATCGCAAGATACAAAATTCCTATAAATTTTTTGGAATTTGCTATATTAATGGGAAATTACACCTGCGAAATTACTAAATTAATGGGGATCAATATTTGCTGGTGTACATATGCTGTACAAAAGCAGTTTATGTAGCCTACATAAGCGCGTTCAATTTGTCTTAGACCTGAACAGACCTCAGTCGGCTTTATCTGTTTTTTCTGGATTTAAGCCTAATAATCAAAAAAGTTGATCTTTATTCGTAAAAGAAAACATGTCTATACCTTATGCTGTTTTTTACTGGAACAATATTTTTAATAGTCAAATAGTCATTACCTCAAAATTGTTTCATTACAAATAAGGCTGAGGAAATATTGTTTAAATTACTTAATTGAGATTATCCTTCAAAAATATTTATTCGAAAATTTAAAATAGATATTGAGTTAGAATTCTGTTTTTTGTGAAAGTTTTAATGAAACTATCATTTATTTTGGTCTTGCCAATATAAATAATTTTTGGATGAATGTTGAAGCATTTATTGCTCATAATATTTTAAAAACATTTTCCTTATCTTTTAAATAAGTGTTTTGGGGTTATCATTTTTAAGATCTCTCTTTAAAAGATGCTGGGTTTTATCATAAATATTGTTTTATTTTATTATTAAGTACATTTCCCATACACAAATGTAAGTTTGCAAAAAGCAAACCTCTCTTCATGGTGCAAGAAAAAGAGATTCAAATTGATATAAAAGTGATTTCTAAATCTAAAAGTAGAAAAGCAATTAAAACAGCTAATATATGGTCCTGGCAACGCAGTGGCGCAGTAGGTAGTGCTGTCGCCTCACAGCAAGAAGGTCACTGGGTCTCTGGTTCAAAATTAGTCTCAGTTGGCGTTTCTGTGTGGAGTTTGCATGTTCTCCCTGCGTTTGCGTGCGTTTCCTCCGGGTGCTCCAGTTTTCCCTACAGTCCAAAGACATGCGGTACAGGTGAATTGGGTAAGCTAAAATGTCCATATAGTGTATGGATGTGTGCGAATGAGTGTGTATGGGTTTCCTAGTGATGGGTTGCGGCTGGAAAGGCATCCGCTGCATAAAAACATGCTGGATAAGTTAGCAGTTCATTCCGCTCTGGCGACCGCAGATTAATAAAGGGACTAAGCCGACAAGAAAATGAATGAATATATGGTCCTCCCTTGACATTTTTGTACAATGTAAAACCCAAAAAGTTAAGGCAACTCAAATCATTTGGGGTAACCAATTGCAACAAACCATTTAAGCTCAAAAACTAATCATAATGAGTACTGTGAACTTAATTCATTTGAATAAAAGAAGCAATTTGAGCACAGTAAAACCAATAAATGAAGAGAACTTAAACCAACAGAGTACTGTAAAACACAATAAATGATGGCAACTCAAACCGTTTGAGGAAACCGATTGCTACAAACCATTTGAGTTTAAAAACTAATCTATATGAGTACTGTGAACTTACTCCATTTAAGTTAAAGTAATGAGGTATTTAATATTAACACTGAGTTCAAAACTCTTTTCAAATGAGAATTTTGAGTTGACTACGGATTTCAATTGATAAAGTTTTACAGTGTATAAAAATGTTTCTATATATAAGATTTTTAATGATGTATGTTTTTTTATGTACACTCCGGTATATGTATGTTTGTATATTACTGTTTATATCTGTATTTTTTGTTGTTGTTAATAATAAAAAAGCATGCTCACTTAAAATTTTTAGAATAACTATTAATTCATTGTATAGTGACTTTAAGACTCATTTTATTAAATGTTTTGAATAGTATTGAAATACAATGACAGCCAGGTCAAAGTCAAAATTCATAAAGAGCTAGGGCAGTACATGTATAAAAACACCTATAGGGGAAAGGTTACTGATCTAAAGATTAATTAATATTTATAAAGAACAAAGCTCTTAAGACTTGATGCTGAAAAAGATGTAATAGTTGTATGATTTTGAAAAGTCAGTTTTTGAAAAGATTCATAACCTAAAAGAAATGTCTAAAAACCGTTGACCATTTACATGGTTAATAATCAGGGACAAAATCAGTCTTGTCACAGCAGAGCCTGCAATACACTGAAGGAGGATCTTGCTTTGCATTCTTTAGTCTACATACTGGAGATTTTTGTTGCTCATCACTCGAACTCTGAGTACACACGTATGAGCAGCAGGGTTGAAAAATAATCTAAATCAGAGCTGATCATAATAAAAATGTTGTTGATTTAATAGTTGTAGTGTTTTAAAGTCAGTATAAAATGAGGGTTAAGATTGTCATTTATTCCCACATCTGGTTGAAATAGTCCTGAAATGAGAAAAAAAAAGTTGTGTGGTGCATGATTTCATCCTTTGATAACTGATTGTATCATTGGAAAATGGGCTTTGCCACTGATCCCTGCCCAAAAGGCATTCCATGTGACCAGAGGTGAAGAAAAGTTTTTTCAAGGGTTGTTTTATGGTGATTTTTATTTTATTTTTTGTAGAAAATAATAAAGATCACAGACAGATTGTTTAAAAGCACTACTACATGTATATAAAAATGAGAATCTTGAGTAAATTTTGATTTCATGCTGACTTTAAAGGTTTTCCTCTGTTTCATCTTTTATGGTCTTAAAGGGAGTTCTCCAAAAAAGAAAATTTACACATTATTTAGGCCAGGGGTTCTCAAACTTTTCAACCTGAGACCCCCAAAATAACAATGCCAATGACTGCCGACCCCCACTATTTTCGAGAGTGGTTATAATCATACAAATGTTGTACGCAACTGCTCACACAAACCAATGGGCCTATAAACACAAGCATATTGACAACACAAAAAGTGCAACAGTCTAACAACTATATATATATATATATATATATATATATATATATATATATATATATATATATATAATTTAATATTAACCTTACCTAATGAGACAGGTGGGCACAATATTTAAGTTACATCACAAGTCTTTTCTTGGTTTAATTTTGGAGACTAATTCAGTTGTGTCTGTATTTATTTTAAATGTACATAAGTTGCATAAAGGTGTCAGAAAGTTTATCTAGTGCCGTAAAATCAATCTGCTGCAAGTGATGCTATTGCTCTGTCGTAAATCTTATGTAAAAACCCCTGGGGTTGCAATCCAATGGGGAAAAAATGAAAGGCTGATGGCTTTTTGTTTGGATGTTGCAGTTTTAAGTAATTGTTTTAATCTTCTGTAAGTTACAGATAAACAATGGTAATTTAAAACGTTTATTCAAATTTATTAGATTTTTGGAAATAACCAAGTGACCCCCTCTCATTGTCCCGCAACCCCCACTTTGAGAACCACTGATTTAGGCTACTCATAAACACCCTGAATTGCTAACTCTTGACTTTCATATAACAAATGCTGTGGACGTCATTGGTAACAGTTTTCAAGCTTCCTTTAAAATATCTTATTTGAAAGATGAAAAGAAAAATGAAAAGACGAAACAGATGAAAGTAAGATGTTTGTTAAGTTTGTTAAGAGGGGTGAGGAATGACGACAGATTTTTTCTGTTTTGGGTAAACAATCCCTATAATTCCACCTAATTTTATCAGCTGCTTCTCAATTAGTTTTATATAAAATAAATTGTAATTAAGAAACATCAAAACAACATTTGAGTTTTGCAAAATATTCTTTATATTTAATGTAACAATGTATGTTTTATTTATAATAATTTAATAGTATAGCCTGTAGTATGTGGTGCTTTCATGAGTGAAAGATTTGGCGGGAAAAATGGTCACACATACGTTCCGATTCTTAATATTCACATCAAACATTAAATGGTGTAAAAATACACTAATTATTTTTACATTAACATATCACAAACAAATGTAACTTCTTTCACCAAATCACATACAGCAGAAAATTAAATATATATATATTTTTCGTATTAATAAAAAATTATATTTATTAAAAAAGGTGAGCGATCCTGGTTCATGCCCCGGCCCCACCTGCTGGCGGGCGGAGAGAGTTGCTAGAGAGAGGTCGAGAGTGGAAGCACGTTTCTTTTTCTCGGTGTATGGATGTTATTCTAATATTTTATTTGATTTATTTGCCACCCTGTATCGTTCAGGATGCATCAGGCCATCACGTCAGCTCAGATAGCGCACTGGTTTACAGTCGGAGCACAGTTTGCGAACATCAGGATCACCAATGAAGCGAAAAAGGCAGAGGCCGAAGATAACGCTACAGAAGTCAGGTAAAGTCATAAAGCCGCAAAGAAATGTGTTTTGTCCTATTTTTTATTTGTAAAAACCATCATTCTAGCATTAACACATACTTTAAGGGAATTTCGTATATGTTTTGGGCAGTTAATATCGATTAAACGTGTATTTGGAGCATATGCGGTTATCGACAACGTTAATTGACACACGAAACCAGGAGACACGTGCGTTTGAAATATGTGTTTGCCAGTTAACGTAGTACTTATGCGGTTTAACACCTGCACATTTTCATGTTTGTAAAGGAATTTAAGTTCACGACGTTTTGACTTTTTTTAAGTCAGGTAATTGAATT